AAATAAAAATCTTACTGTTAAAAAACCTTTGACTGGTAGTGTAGGCTGATTATTATTATAGATTGAAACAAATGTGCTTCAGCCAGAAAAAAGGGTATGAAAAGTGCTCCGATATTTTAAATAGTAAAAATATTTCACAACATTACTGCTTTTGCTGTACTTTGGATCAAATAAATGCAGGCTTGGTGAGCAGAAGAGACTTCTTTATAAATATATATATGTATATATATATATTTTTATTTTTATTTTCAGCCCTGCAGTAGGGCTGGGCGATATGGGCAAAAACTCATATCTCGGTATTTTTTGGCCGATTTGCGATATACGGTATATATCTCGGTATTTTCGTTTTTTGTATTTGGATTTAAAAAATCTGTATTTAATATATATAAATTTCACTTACCGCCCAATGTTGTCCAACAAAACAATACATATTAAAGGCTATGAAAACAAATAAAGTAAATGTAACAATGTAAGCCTTATATTATGTGCAAAAAGGGTTAAAATCAAATTTCATTCTAACATTGTTACACTGCAGTCTAAAAACAAAAATAAGGCTTTTAAAGCGTAAGTTAAATTCACTAAACTAAAAATGAAAATAAATGAGAACAAAAGCACAGAGTTGTTTTAGGCTATTTTGATTACCCCCATTACAGTCACTTTACCGTCAGTTCTATCATAAAAATAGACTTACTTGTAGGTTTAAAATTCTACATGTCACATTTATTGTCCAACTACAAATATTTGAGCGGAATGTATATTTTAGTCAGAATTATTGCGCTCCTATTTAATTGAGCTCTGTCTTTTTGGCTCGCATGCGCGCGGTGGTGTTCGTTCACTGAATCTGTGAAGTTGAGCGGAGAATCTCAAAGCAGAAGGCTCATGCACTTCTGACAGAAAAATTGAAATATTTCCATGGCTTTCTAACATTTACAGATGGAGAATATGCATGTGAAAGTAAGTTATGGATTCAGGAAGACAGCACATCTCAAACACATTAAACAGCGCGAGTAGCCTAGTGTCTCTGTCAGCGGCACATGCAGCTTTTCTGTCAGAGCATATGGCGGGCCGAGCCGCTTAAACTAATATGCGAAACGAAACTATAAACTAGGCCTATGTCTTACCAGTTTTTAAAGGCCTTAATTTGAAGCTTGTCACATGTTTAGAACAAATTGGATTATGCACTTTCTCCGCAGCAGCTCAGTCTTTGTCTTTCTCTATATTTTCAGATGCGCTCATATCAAACATATAAACAGTATTGCCTCATATCGAATCGCTTATAAAGAAAATATCGAAATATCGTACAAACTCGATATACCGCCCAGCCCTACCCTGCAGTGTAATTTGCATTAAGATTCCATGCTTGCATTTGTAAATGATGTGTGTAGCACTAAGCACTGCTTCTGTATTTCTATGTGGATGGATGTGGCTGCAGGCTACAGTGCTGTTTGGTGATTCAGGACTGAGGAAAAACTTCCCTGGAGATCCCACATACATGCTGTTTCCAGTGATCTCAGTGTCTAGGCTTCAAACCACCTCACGTCACACTCATCTCTGTGTTGTTCTCTCACGAGGAGGAAAAGAGGTGATTGTGCGCTAGGGAAAAGCGGGAATTGGAGAGGCCGTATGACTCGGCAGAAATCTCCTGCCCTCCATAAAAATGCATTGTGTTGTTTTTGAGACCGCAAAACTGTTTGTTTTGGATGGCAGCATGGCTTTGCTGACGACAGGCCTTCATGTCTGTGGCATCTAAAGCAAGCCTGTCAGCTGTATGCTAATTTTATTTTCTGGCCACTAAAGACCTGCAGGATATTTATGCATCATGTAAGTGTAGCCTGGGTGTGTTAACGGTTCTCCAAATGCTTCTGACCACTGTGGGGGAAAACAAATACTGGTTACTGTTAGGGATGCATGATATTGGATTTTTGCCGATATGCGATATGCCGATATTTTTCAACTCATTTTGGCCGATACCGATATATTTCCTTTTGTTTGGAAACAACACCAAGTCTCTCCCGTGCAGAAATTATAAGCAAAATATTTTTAATTTTGGTTAGTTTTTAACAAGAACTTATTTGTTAGAATTAAATAAACAAAGAGCACTTCTAGATCTGAACAGCACATCTTCTTTAACACAGTTACATCTGTACACCACCTCTCATTGATGTAAAAGCATGTCCCGCCGCCGCGCGATTTCCCCGTTGATTCTGCGTCGCGATCCGCTCTGAACAGCTGAAAGCCCGGGAGACTCAACGCGCTGTCCGGAATGGCGTCTTTCAGCCAGGTTTCCGTGAAACACAGAGCAGCAGAGTTTGAAAAATCCTTATTTGTCCGGGAGAGCAGAAGGAGTTCGTCCGTTTTGTTTTGTAGAGAGCGGAGGTTGGCCAGATGGATGCTAGGCAACGGCGTCCTGAATCCGCGCTGCCTGAGCTTCACGAGCGCGCCGGCTCTTTTCCCCTGTCTGCGCGTCCTGAAGCGCTTGATCAGCACAGCAGCTCCGCCGACTACAATGTCCAGCAAAACATCAGAATAATCGAAAACCGGTGAAATATCGGGTGGTGTGTACTGCCGATTGTCCAGCAATTCGTCTCTGGTGAGACTGATTGCAGGGATATAACTAAAGACAGGACAAACTAACAAAAACATAAAAACAACTGCGGAGCACGCCACGGAGGCAGCCATCAGCGTCGGCGCCATCTTGGACTTAATCTTGGACCATCTTATTTAATTTACAAGTGTCATGTTTGGGATTTTTTTTCATGTAAGCTATAGCTTCTGACCTTTAAATCAAAACATACTCATTTTTTTATGACATCAATTACTGCTTTATTTAATCAGAAACACAGTCTAAATGTTATTTGTGTAGGCTATTTTACTTTTAATTTAATTAGAAGTAGGCCAACAGTGCCCCCTACAGATTAAAACTCCTTACCGAAGGGGCGTTAGGACCTGGGGGAGGCTGTCACTGCTGGCGCTGCACGTGCTATTACTGTTTACTCTATCACACACCAAACGCGCCATTCTGTATGTGCTTTCACAGATTAAATGCAGTGATCCAAAACAGTGAATCTAATCACCATTCAGGCAAAACTTTGCTTCAAGAATGAGCCACACTGCTGACATGATCTAATCGCTACACACCCTGAGCACATGTGTGTTAACGGGCCGATGCCGATGCCGATATTTACATTTAAAGCCATTATCGGCCGATTCCAATATCAGTTCGATAATATCGTGCATCCCTAGTTACTGTTACATTCATTTCTATTGGGAACGTGATGAGACATTTTGTGTAGATTTAGTTATTTTTGAAGATTTGGCAAATATTTCTAAACATTTGGTAATAAGTAAATAAATAAATAAAAAATTAAATAAATATAATTTTTTTTCACCAGACAGATGAATTAGGAACTATAATAAAAGATGATTTCAGTGGATAAATAAATAAATAAATCCATATAGTACTAAGAACTAAGTTCACACAGACGGATTTTGTGTTCCACTACACTGCTTTTGATTTTTTTTGTGTGTGTGTGTCAAGTTTTCAAGTTTATTTGTATAGCGCTTTTCATGATACAAATCATTGCAAAGCAACTTTACAGCAAGCATGTCTTCAGAAAATGTTATTCATCAGTAACACTTTCCAACTACTTTATGATAAATTGTGTTAAATAATATAACGCTGTATCTGGTAAAACTTTAAATGGTTGAAGCGTAGGGTTCTGCTGTATTTCAAAAGAACTAATTTGTGCCATTTATTTTTCCTGTGTATTTCTGTACAAAATAATTTATCCACTGCAGTCTTCTGTCATTTATTTTGCTGGTGAAAGATCAGTTATGGATTTTTTTTTTTGCTGAAAGTGTAAGAAAATAAAAACAAAACAACTCTTTGGCTAATTTTTGTTTTAAAACAAATTACTTTTAAATTGTATTTTACCCTTGGAAGGGTAAGGATTGAAACTGTTCAGGGCTCGCAAAATCTGCCCCGACGGGCTATCTTGAACAGTGATATAAAATTCCTTCCTTGATTTGCGTTGTTCACTAGCTTGTAGGGGTAAAACGGATCATAGTTTATCATTTGCACGTGTTTCTAAGTTTTGCCGATATAAACATTCAAGTGTTTTAAACCATTCATTCGCTCTGAATGTGCGTACACAGAATTGATTCCTCTTTCGCATATCCTTGCACCTGAATGAACACATACACACAAAATTATCTCAAAATAACTGTCTCGGCGTGTATTTAGCATCTTTGTTTGGATCGTGATTAAAATGCGGTGGTTGCCTCTGATTTTAAATGGAAAAAGCACAGCCAAAGCCTTAGTTTGTTTATATGAAGAGATTTATTTTATGTGTATTATTTAATTATTTGATTTGGGATTTGTTTACAAATTTCAAGTTAGTTTTATTATTTGACATATTTCAATTTCACAAAGAAATGTGCAGCATTTTGTTGGAGAAATAATAAAAGGACAC